ACAATGGAATCCTTGGAGGCTGGGAGATTTTCAAGGTCATACAGTAAAGAGACATTGTACCCTGCTTCTGGGTTTACAAAGAAACTTCCATGCACTCTCTTTAATAACTCATCAGCACCATGCGCCTGAAGTTCCTTGTAGAATTTCAAAGAAATAATGACCATCACTTTTATTTTGTCTCCATTAGGATTTGAAATATGATAGAGGACCCCATCAAAGTCTGCAAATGTTACTTCTACGGCTTCTGGTTTGCTTCCGGCGGCCACGTTCTCGAACCTGAGCGCGAGCGTCTCCTCGGTGATGCGGTTGTTCACCTCCAGCAGGATCAGGGCGGCGGCTGGCCCCCGAAGCCTGAACCCGCCTGCGGAGCCGCCGCCGCCTCACCGACAAGCCCGGCCCCCCTATATTTCCCATTCTTAGCATCTGCTAAATTCTTCTCTTAAAAAATGAACATTTCTACATCTCAGACTTTGGAAAAAAAAATCAAACATATTAACTATATACTATGTTTGGAACTAGAAATACAAAAACAAGGAACAAAGAAATTTTTTTTAGAAATGTAAAGAAAAATAAAGAAGATAAACCACTTGCTTTCAAGAGGATAGAAGTATTTTTATAAGGCTAGAAGATGATGACTGGCAAGCCACAGAGGAAATGGCATTTGGGCAGGATGTGGAAGGGTGATGCATTCATTCAAGAACTGTTTATTAAACATGCTGTGCCATACATTGTTCTAGGTATTAAGAATATGATATAAATCAGACAAATGCCTGCTTTCAAGAGGAGAAGAAAATGAAACAGGGCATGGATTAAGCCAGAGTAAGTGGAAGATGAGGCAGAGATACTGTGGATAGTGTGATAAGAGTAGGTTCCTTTGGGGAGGTGATGCTTAAACTGAGACCTGAAAAGTACCTAGCCATTTAAGATCTAGGGCAAAATAATTCTGAGTAAAGATAACAGAAAGTTCACAAGCCTGGAGAATAATGAGCTGTAGCATGTTTGAAGAATGAAAAAAAAAAAACAAAACCTACCACCAAACCAAACCCCAGCATAGCAGTCCATCTGGTTTGGAAGAGGAAACCACATGATCCAAGAATATAGAAGTGTAAGAGTGTTAGAAAAATGGCAAAGAAAAAAAAATTTAAAAAAAAATAAAAAAAAAGAAAAATGGCAAAGGACATACTGTGGCTGGAGGATATGATATTTATGTGGTTGCGAGGGGAAAAGATTGCAAATAAAAGACGAGACTGGAAGATTGAGAGCAAATTTCAAGATTTACGAATGTCATATGGAAACATTTGGAATTCATTCTATAAGGGGGAAAATCTTCAGCTGAAAATTTTGGCAGCAATGCGATATACACAATGTTAAAAAGGCCTCGTGGTTCACACAGTATTCTCATATGGGAAGTCAGCAAGCACTGTGGTGCAAAGGCATTATGAAATGGCCAGTGAAGGATGGCATGCAGAAGGGAAAAGTATGATCACATGAGGAGGGAGACTAGGGCCACTCTGATAACACACATTTTGGATTTCTAGGTTTCTCTCTTGAAAGAAATTCTCTATTTTCAAAGTTCACTCCACATTATAAAAAAATGATCAAAACTAAACCCAAAGTCCATTAATAAGGAACTGGTTGAATAAACAATAATAAAAACACCAAAAAGAAGAAAACTATGGAGTAACATGGAGTGTTAAGTGAAAAAAGCCATGTGCAGAACAGTGTATATGTCGTGCTGGCTTTAGATAAGGAACAAAGAAGAAGAAAAAAAGACTCCTCCTCCACTCCCACAAAACACATACTGCAAGAATTAACTGGGAATTAATGAAAATGGTGAGTAGGAACAGGGTAGGAAGGATGAACCTTGCTTTATCCCATGACATCATCGTAATCTCCGCCATGCTGGAGTCCTTGAGTTGCTGCAGTCCTTGTGTGGGACATCACTCTGGGAAAGATAGAGGGTCAGTGACAGAGATGAAGACCCTCAAGGAGATGCAGTGACACACTGACTAGGATGGTGTGGTGGGTCTATTCAAAATGGCTTTCCAAGGACACTGCCCTTGCCTTTCATCACATGGCTGGGTAAGAACATGCAAATACGGCATGTTAGTGTATTCATGAGGGGATTGACCAGTTTGCTTATCCCACCAGTTTTAACCTGAGCAACTACAGAAGCAGAAAATGGGAATCTCAGTACCAGCAAGGAAGAGGACAATAATGCAGCGCACTTCCTCTGGGGTCAGGAATGCCTGTGCCAGTCAACCAGTACTTAACAGCAACAACAACAGCAGCAGAGAACCAGAGACTGACATGAGACATAGCTGACCTTGGGACTGCTGCTGCACAGAGCCATAGCTAGAGAAGTTCACTCAAGCTTGCTAGAGGACTAGTGTTGTGGGAGAGAGGGAGATGCCATAATCAGCAGGACTAAGAGAGCTTCGTAACATTGGCCTAAAGTGCAAGGCTCAGACTGACCGGCCTGAAAGCATGCTGCACCCTGCCGCAACTGGCCTGACTGAGAAATTGTATCCTGTTGCCAATCTGAGTTATAACTTGTTAACTTCTCTAGTAAACCCCATAATCCTGAGTATGATTCTGTGAAGTCTCTGTAGCTATTGCAATGGATTTCAGACCCTGTTGGAAATTAGTGTGGGGGCTGTACATCTGACTTCATGGTGATCGGTTTTGTGCTGTGGCTGTTCTTGATGGGGATACTTCTTCCTTATAGAGTTAGCGAAGGTCAGATATAGTCATTCTTACACCGTTTTCACACTTTGTACAGAAGAATAGTCTTTAAAAAGTCATCATTTTGCAAGCCCTCATAAAATTCTAGCAAAGGCCATCAAGAGTTGCTTACATTAAAAAAAGCAAAGCACAATAAAGGATTTATCTTCAACATTGTAATTCTTATCTTAATCAATGTTAATATTATAAAACAAAATGTCTATGAGTGATTTAATAAATACAGTATGATTTGTAAATTTTCATGCAAAGTAAATTTGTAAGAAATAGAAAACTTTCAAATAATAAAAAAGATAGTTGCTTAAAGCATTAGGTAAAATTAATGGGTTGTGGGGGATCTGGATATTTGCACAGTGCCAAAATAGCACACTATAGACTTCATTGAAGGGAACAAGTAATCACTACTTTAATTAAATTGTCTAACCAGGAGCATCCGGACATTAATGTGCCTATGCTGGGATATGATTTGAAGTTATCTATCATCTATGAAATATTCTTTTTTCCCCCTGCATTCTGTCTCTATCTATACCTTTTATTTTTTTAAAAAATTTATTTTATGATTGTTATCTATAAAGTATTCTTAAAAAAATTGAACATGCATGAAGTCTTTAAACCTAACCTTCAGTACAGAGGAATTATGAATGGGAGTACAAATAAATGAAACTGTGAGGAAACAGGCAAATTCAGATCTTCTCCCTCTGGCTCCTTTCTGTTTAGTCCATAGGACACAGTATCATCATCATACTGGCAGGAGGACTAGAAGTTAGCAGGCCAGGCTATTTGACAGATATGTGCAGGCTATGAGGTAATAGCAGGTATGTGAGCCACCTATGTCCCTACCTAAAAGTAATATGCTACAAAAAAGCAGAGGAGAGAAGGGAAATGGTGCAAAATATGTTTGAAGAAACCCATGGTTCCAGAACTGGCTCTGCTACTGACTGGCTGTGGAACACTGGAAACACACACATACACACACACACACACACACACACACAGAGAGAGAGAGAGAGAGAGAGAGAGAGAGAGAGAGAGAGAGAGAGAGAGAGAGAGACTGTGTACACAGGTACATTCAGAGCTACAGTTCCATCTGTGAAGTGAGTGAATTGGACAAAGTGTCACTGAGGGACTTCTTATGTAAAAGGCCCCTGGTTCAGAGAACTACATAGAATCTCTGTTGCCTTTCTGGGGTGTTTTTATGCTAAAGTTGGCTGGTATACACTTATCGTTGATCTTAAGAGAACACTTCTGAAATCTATCCTGTATATATGAGTTTCAGAAGAGCACTTTTATGAGAATGTGTGAACAGTAATAAATCACACAAAGATTCATCTAGCAAGCTGAGAGCAAGTGAAAATTTAGAAAAACAGAAGCTTTCTAGAAAATAATTTACACAAAGCACTTGGACTAAGCCATTCAAGATCTGCAAGTCAGGTGAAAGGGGCAACTTCATGGCCTCAGGACAATCCCTTCTATTCTCTAGACTTCAATTTCTCCCTCTACAAAATGGGAATTAGATCTTATTCTTTAGAAAGTTTAGCATAGCATCTGAATTTACTCTAATGTGAGGAAAGTATAGCCTCAGAGTTAGACCTGAATTTGAAATTTTAGAGGAATGAGACCTTAGCCAAATAATATTCAAATTCCCACTAAAATTCTTTATGCACCAAATGGAATACTAAAGCTTACCTCGCAGTGAAGTTGTTGGGATTCAGTGAAATGGCACTATAAATTCCCTTACACATTGGTTTGCCCATACGGATGCACTAACACTATACGTTTGTTTGTTTCTTTCCTTTCTTCCTGTTTATTTTATAGGATGTGTGGGTGAAGAATGGGAGATGTTGAGATCGAGCCTTCCACGATGTCAATCTTTCCTATGTTGTCAATCAGATTTTACTTAATTCTGTCACTTTTATCCTAGTTTAGTAGCTTACTGGGTGATGCAAATAGTTTGCACTTGACCATCAACCAAAATGTTGATCATTTGGACCTGCTGAGCACCATCCAGAAGAAAGGCCTGATGATGCGCTTCAATTAAAAGATTATGGCTACGAAAACTCTAGATCATTAACACCTAGAGTTGCTAGGAACCATGGGATTAGCTCAACAGCAACAGGTTCTAGCTCAGTGAGGAAGGCAGTTAGTGGAAGATCACATGAGCATCATCATATGTGCTTCTGTTGCCGGTCAGCATAACTGGAGACAGGTCACAGAGCTAGAGGTACCCAGAGAAGATACTTCAAATAGATCTGACTCACCAGATGAGTTGTAACAATAGGCCTTGAACTTTTGATGAACTAAAACTTTCCAAGCCACGACACCAATCCCGTTCTTCCCACACTTGGGGTTTGGGAGAATCCGAGGGATGACCACTGAGGTCCCATCTTCAACCCATCCATAGCTGTAACAGAATGCACATTAGTTGAGTGGATACATGATTAGAAGTTACATCTTTTTTTGCTGAACAAGAACCCAGAGCCAGGAGAGTTTCAGCCTTGTCATCAGAGCAAGCCATTTCTCACCTGCAAGTCTCAAAGCCAAACTTCTGTGCTGTTGCAACCTTGTCTTTGCTGGCCAGAGTTAGTCCCAGTAGCCTGCATGCTTCCTCAGCTTCTGAGAAATTAAATTGTTCTTTTGCCTTTTTGTTCACAAGTGTGATCCCCATAATTCTGCATGGTCCCGAGGTGGAAAGCTCTGCAAAGAAATCATAGGTCCTCAATGTCCTTATCCCTACCTATTGGTTCTCCTAGCAGAGCACTGATGTCCTGATGCATCAGAGAGGTCTGCATGACTAGGACTGGAAATCATGGGGTACAGAGTGATCATTTCCCAGGATAGCCTGCTGGTTTAGATTACTGCTGATACAAACTGAGTATCTCACCAGTCAGGGGACTGCATTAAGGAGTGCTTTTTATCCCAGAGGAGTTCTGGCTATCTGTTCTTTGGATGAATGTAGGTGATGCAGTTGCTAGAATCCTTTCTGTAGTCTGTAAAATGAAGAACCTGAAACTTTAAGATAGAGTTCAGTGCTCTGTTAGGTAGAATAATTAATAGCACTTCAAAATTATTAGGAGAGTTCTGGTGGCTTAGTGGTTAGGAATTGGGCTGCCAACCCAAAGGCATGTGGATCTACTCCACCAGCTGCTCCATGAAAGAAAGAGAGAAAATCTCCAGTGCAACTTACAGCCTCTAAAAACCTGCTGGAGGGTGAGCTACGAGTCAGTCACAACTCAACGGCACATAACAAAAACAACAACCAAACTAATTTGAGTTGGTGTTAGTTGCCACCAAGTCGATACTAACTCATGGTGACCATGGAGTTTTCAAGGGTCTGAACTTTTGGAAAGAGATCTCTAGGACTGTTTGCCAAAATTGAACACAATCATTTGAGTCTCCTACATACTCCTAGTGTGAGAAAGTTTCACCATTATTTTTGAGATGGGAAAATGTTGCACATGCTATCAAAGGATGATGCTCTCTCAGTTCCAGGTCTTCTCAGACCACTGGAGTGCAGGCTTACTCAGAAGTTCCAGGAGGAACGGGGCAGTAAATCTTGTACTCCCTTTGATCAGTGGCAGAGAAAGAAAAGTTCCATTAGTAGAGTTTTACAGTCACATTTAGACTAGTATCTAGGCTATATTGATAGCTGGCTCTGTGCCCTTGTGTAATTACTACATTTCTTTGTGCCTTAGCTTCTTAATCTATAAAATGGAAAAAAATAACTGTATACATCATAGTGAGAATTACATTAGTTTATTCTAATAAAAATGTTTAGCAAAATGCCTGTCACATAATAGGTGCTCAGTAAATCACAGGCAGCATCATTATGTGATCATCAAAGCATATTTGATTTAGTCTCCCAATGATTTATCTTGCTGAGGAATGTAGGCAGTTGAACAGTTAAGATGTGAAAAGTGTGTTTACACAATAGATAACTTGGAGTTCAAGAACTGATTGGACAGTTCTCTTGGCTCATTCTTTCTGGTTCTGGATTATATAGAATTATATGAAGCTACCGTGTTTCATTGCACTCAGGTGCATTATTTCTACTGACTTTCATTCAGGAAAGTCCATGAAAAAGCATTTCCATCTAAGTAATTTTACTGTCAACCTAAAGGTGCAACCTCTTTGGTGGTTTGAATCCACCAGCCATACCATGGGAGGAAGATCTCTTCACATGTGATTTACAGCCTCCTGAAAATCCATGAGAAGGGGATGCATAAATAGGTTCTGACTCCATGGCATAAAAGTGAGTAAAATGCTTATATACTACAATGTGCATTAGGTGACCAAGAAAATGCTTTGACCATTTTCTAGCTTACTGTTTAAAGGAAGCTTCTTCCTGTAAACAAAGGAAGAGTAATTAATAACCCTCCATAGAAGCATGTTGTCCCTGGAGCAGGAAGTTCAGGAAAGGAATAGAAATCTGAAGGAGATAGTATTTCAGGATGGCCATGTTTGCACTTTACTTTTATCAGAAGAGACCAGAGTCAATGTCTCAATGTTAATGTGTGTTACTTGGGTGACTATATGCACAAATACTAATATCTGTAACAATGCTGATGTTGATACTAATATCAATACCAACACTGATCTTCTGATGCTTCTACATGACAGTCAAGGCATCTTTTAATATAAAATTGAGGGTCCAGGAGATCAGGTAGTTTTCCTAAATCCATAAAAATTCTTGGTGGCAAATTAGAGTTACAAATTTAGTTATGGGCTTGACAGATTCTAAACCCCCAGTTTTTAGCTACGCCACTGTTTCATCTCCTACCATGCTGTGAGGAGGCAGCTCTGGTGTTCTGGTCCATAGTTCTGCTAACCCAAAAGTGGCATCTCTCTGGCGGTTGGAATCCAGCACTGCTCTGTGGGCGAACGATGTGCAATCTCCTTTGAGATGTACAGCCTCTGAAAAGCCAGCTGAAGGGCCAGCTCTGAGTGGGCTCCACCTCCACCGGCAGTGAGTTTTAGGATTTTTTTGTTTGGATTCGAGTGCTGGGGGAGGGAGTTCTGGTGGTATAGGCCATAGGGTGTTACACTGCTAACCAAATCCACCAGTTGGTCTTTGGGAGAAAGAAAGATGAACAGTCTCCTCTGTTTGCAATTTACAGTTTTGGAAGCCTGGTTAGGATCATGAAGAACCAGAACAACTCAGGAACAGTGAATGAAAGTTCTGTGGGGAGAAGATAAATACACCCATCTAGAGACACAGACTACACAAAGGTATTTATAAAGAAATGGAAATTGTAGATTCTCCTAATACACCCGGAGTTTGGCAGTCAGCCAATACTAGCCATTTTTATGCTTTCATACTTAATGGGTGAAAGAATTGGAGTTCATAGATTATCTAATAACCTCGACAATAAGATTTCTTTAGAGACAGCTGTTCTTATGAATTGTCCAGTTGGAATCAACTCATTACGGACTCTTCAAGTTTCCAAAGGCTGTAAATAGCAAGGGAAGAGATTGCCCATTTTTCTCCAGTGGAGAAGCGGGTGGATTCAAACTGTGTGCCTTTGGGTTGGTAGTGCAACATCTTATCTGTGAGGCCACCAGAGCTCTCAAATGAAACAGCAGACTCGTAGAAATAATCTATGCTTTCACATGCAAGCTTTATTATTCTTTATTGCCTGCACAACATTGAGATAGTAACTTGGCTTTTATGAACTATCTTGATGAGAGGATTACGCAAATACATAAACACTTATGTAGACACTCAAATTACCACTGTGTCTGCATAACAGGCTCTTAGCAAGGTTACTTCTGATCTGTTATAGTTTGAATTGTGTACCCCCAAGTGTATGTTGTAAATCCTCACCTTTATGCCAGAGGCTAGAATTCCTTTTGGGTAAAGGCTGCATTTGTTCTGCTAATGAGGCATGATTAGTGTAGATTGTGTCTTGAGTCAGTATCTTTTAAGATATAAAAGAGATTATAAAAAAGAGATCAGAAGAGATATAGAATAAGAGAAATTCAAAGACACATGGAGATCTCCAGGGCCTCAAAAAGCAGAAGCTGGAGAGACAAGGACTTTCCTTCAGAGCAAACAGAGAAAGTCTTCTGCCAGAAATGGCATTGGAATTCAGATTATTAATCTCCTAAATTTGTGAGAAAATAAATTTCTACTTATTAAAGCCATCCACTTGTGTTAGTTGTTATAGAAACACTAGATAATTAAGACCCCTTCTCATCCTCATACCTGCACCTTGTAGTTCTGAATTCCTTTTAATAATTCACACAAAACATAGTGGCCCTGTGAGCAGATCTGAGCCTTGCTCTATTCTGCTCCATCCGCACCAGCGCTGATATGCTCATGTCTCTGTGTCAGTCCATCTGGTTGAGAGTCTTCTCTTTCTCTGACCCACCATCTTTACAAGCATGACGTTCTTCTAAGCACCGGCCTCTTCTAATAGAAATGCCCAAAAGTATGGAGACAAAGTTTCACCACTCTTGCCTGGAAGAAGCACTTTGGCTGCACTTCCTTTAAGATAGACTTGTTTGGGGAGCTCTGGTGGCCTAGTGGCAAGAAGCTGCCCTGCAATCCCAGAGTATGTGGTTCGAATCCATCAGATGCTTTACCAGAGAAGGAGGTGCCATTTCCTCCTGTACCAGTCAGATCCAATTTGACGGTACACGCACAGAGAAAATAATAACATTTAAAAAAAAATTAAAAAAAGATAGACTTGTTTGTTCTTTTGGCAGTTCATGGTATATATTCAGTATTCTTCCTCCATACTGCAATTCAGAGTAATTCTCAAAGGACAATTTCCAAAATAATTTAGGTAATGACAGCATTGTGAAAATAATGTACAGACTTCCCCAGGTGAATTTAAAAATTATTTGAATTTAATAATTTTTTTTAAATACCACTATCACTGCTTAAAAATAAAAAACAATATGTGATGCAATCCTGGACCTCAATTCTGTTCCCAAGATGTTTTATAACTTAAGGCATCTTCCAGCGTAGGAACACACAGTTTTCTTTTTAGAGTAATAGAATACTAATTTTCTCAGAGTTGTACTGAATGATTGTGGTCCTAATTTTTGTCTGTAGTGCAGAATGAGGTTTCCATTTAGGTATTTACAAAACCCAGAAATCTCTTTAAGTCATTCTTTTGGTGAGTTGTCTACTTATGGCTAATTTTCAAACCTGCATTTCCAAAGATTTTTTCCATTAATTTGGTACTTACTACATTTAAAAGATATTTCATCCACTCTATAGCAGAGGACAATAGAAATAAAAATGATTATACTAACACTTCAAAAATTATAAAATAGGACAATATGTAGTGAAAGTTACCTATTTTTTCCACAGGGCTTATTGGTAGCCTTAAAATATTCATAATCATGATAATAAAACACTTTTCAGATTACACAAGTTTTCTTCTATCATTTAAGCAGGTGGAATTTTTGTTTTGTTTTAAATTAGGTCTCTTCAGTGTTTCATTTTAAAATATTTCTTCTAGGGAAAAAATCCATAAATAAAAAGAAAGTGAAAATTATACCAAGATAAATGTAAGGCATTTTTTAGAGTTGAGAATATAGTAAAATGATTTGTCAGAGTGACACAACCAATTTGATTTTCTGTTAAAATTGAGGATCACCTACTCTCCGTAAGAGTTCAATTGACTTAAGATATAAGGTCTTGCCTTACCTTAGGGAAGAAATCTAGTAAGAAACCTACCTTCAATTCTGAGAGCGCCTTGGACCAGCAGCCTTGTGGTCCAGATGGAGGCAAAGAACAGCATCAGGTTGAAGCACTTGGTCATTGTGCCAACGCTTCAGGGCCAGGAAAGCACCTCAGATGGTCACTAGCAGTGGCAGAGGCAGACACTCAATCACCGGTACTGATGGAGACTTCTGGAAGTGTGTTGGAGTCCTCTCTGCTCTACCTCACAATCGAGACATCCGGATTTCCCTGCTTTCAAGCTTCTGATTTGTTAAGGTCACTGAAGGAAATGAGTGACATCCCATGGTCAGCCTGTACTTTATGGGTAGCTCTCTGGAAAATTTAGCTAATGCTGACTCAGAAAGCACAAAATGAGGAAATCAGATAGCACAGTACGAACTTTCTCCTATTCTGTGTTCTCATACCACTCAGCATTTATATTCTAGACCCCCCCCCCTTCATTTATCCATTCCCAGCGGAAGCATGGCATTTTCAGTCTTCTTGTGGGTAGGTGAAAGATCTAAGAAAAAGTGATGCCTTTAAATTATGGTGTTGATGAAGAATACTGAATATAGCATAGACTTTCAGAAGTAAACCCAAATCTGCCTTGGAGGAAGTATAATCAGAATACTCCTTCAAAGAGAGATAGTAAGACTGTGTAAGGAGAGATCAGCCACCTGAGAAGGACATCACTTGGTAGAGGTCCAGGAAAAAAGAGGAAGACCTGACTGACATGGACTGACACAGTGGTTGCACCATGACTGTGAGGCAGGTAGAGGGCTCGGTGGTGCTTCCTCCTGTCATACCTTGGATGGCTGTGAATCAGACTCAGTCCTGATTGTCAGGCCAGTCACCTGGTTAGAGATGTGCTTTCTAAATCAGATCGTTAGATAAAAGCTACTATGCACTATTATTACGAGCTCTGGTGGCCTAGTGGTAATAAGCTGTACTACAGTCCAGAAGGCATGTGGTTCAAACCACCAGCTGCTCTGCGGGAGAAGGATGGGCAGTCTCCTCCCGTGCAATTTACTGCCTCTATAAACCTGCTGGAGGGTCAGCTGTGGGTCGGTTCTGACTCGACAGAATACAACAGCATGCACTATTACACTGGCCTTAGAGACGTTGATTTCTTGTTCTCATTATGTTGGCAAGTATGACTGTGCAGACTAATAGTGCTTCAGCTGTAGGCTGAGGAACCTGAGGAGAGATGTGTCAGAGGTGATGTTTCTTCAGGATTTGCTCTCTTGGGCTGTGCTAAACTAAGAATGTATTCCTGCTAAACTAAGAATGTGTTAAAGATGGAGAGGAAGATGCACCACTCTCACCCTCAATGTTTGTATTGGCTTGAAAGATATAAACAATAACAACACAGGCTGTCTCTTCCTTTCGAACAAGTCTTTGTAATGCGATACCTATTCTTTGTCTAAAAATGAAATAAAAGACTTTAAAAAAAAAAAAAAAAGAACCAGTGTCATGACCCTGAACAAAGACAACACAGCGATGGCTCTTTCTCTAAAGCAGGTTGAGCAGGGACTGTGCTTCTCAACCTTACACAATCAGTGATGTTTTTCCTCAGTGGCAGAGCTTTTGGAAATGGGGAAGAATAACGCTAATGCTCATTCAAGTGAACGAGGGCTGATTTACCAGGACTGCCCCTTCATGCTGTTCCCCAATCCACTGCCCCACTGCCTCACTTGGGACTTCCTTTATACACCTGAACTGTCTATGCTGCTATAGGTGATTCCTTCTCAAATTAAACTAGACATGTACAAAAATGCATATTTAGAAAACATAAAAGGGGTGGTGTTAGTCTTTCTTACAAAGGGCTCTGATTTTACAATAGCAGTCACCGTGAGGGTCCTTTAGTTATGTTCTCTGTACTTAGGATAAGATAGGTAAAAATACAATTTTGACTTTGCCTTTCTCCATTAATAAATGTGAGATATCTTTGCTATGTATGGCTTTTGTGTTTGCTTGCTTCCTGCTACTTCGTTGTCAGCCAGAGATGTTATTACAGCATTCCACTTTTGAGTCAAATGTTCGGGTAAGCAGTATAAAAACCAGCCCTGAACCACAGTTTTCACATGCTAAAATTTTCTTTCTTGCTTATGTCACGTTCATTGTTGTGCTCTTTGAAAGCCCAAGCTTCTTTCTAATGGTTTTGTCATCTTCTCTGGCCTCACAGTCCTCAACTGAATCCTCTGAATTGAGTGGCAATGAGAGGAATTTTTTTATGTATGAAGTATGAGGCAAGAGCTTGTATTTAGGGAACCAGATGGGCTTCATCAGGGTTGAAATAATTTTGCCCTTCAGTTCCATGAAATCAGGAGGCATTTGGCTACTGCCAGAGGTTTGGAAATGTGCTTTATTTTCAAACTCAAGTATGTGACACTCTACAGTTCAACATCAGCACACCCATGTGAAGGTTAACATCAGGAACCAATAGCCGATGCTACACAATTCCAACATCTCCCTCTTTGTTGACTCTGCCGAGTTGTACATGGGAAACAATACATAGGCTTTATGGTGGGCAGAGTGAAGGTCCTTTTGGGTGACAATGACACAAACACATCGCTCTACAATTGAAGATAGGTACCCAGATTCCTAGGGCAAAGCAGAAATGTCAGACTTCAAAGGCATTTTTCTTCAAAGGGGAAGTTCTGTTTCAGCCCAATGTCATTATTAGAAATTTAGGGCCATTTCCCACCATTTCAATACTGCTTTGACAACAGCTCAACTACTTCAAATTGATCTTTGATTTTCAGAAAATAAATACCCATTAGTACTATTCTTCAGCAATGCCTTGTAAATGGCTACATCTACATAAGTGCTCTTACACTCAGCCCTCCTTACCCGCAGATGGAGTGAGGTGAGGCTCGGTGTCTGGAAATACTTGCAGGCCTTTCTCCAGTGCCACTGAGGTCCAGGAACTCACAAGGACGTCCTCTCTGGCTATTGTCTGAAGGAGACAATGGCCTGCTCAGGCTGATCATTCAGGTTAAGATCGGACACTGCTGGCCTGGAGTCCAGGGTCACACTTTGTCTTAACCCTGAGGGCCTTATGTAGCTAAAGCATCTTCAGTTATTTCCCTCCCACTGGGAGAGGCAGAGCAATCCATCTGTTCGTCTCCGCTGTCCCTCTGCCTCGCTCTGCACCTCTTTACCTTAACGGCACATCCTTGGTCAACCTTGGCTGGGACTTCCCTCACAGTGGCTTTCTAGTCACTGCAAAATAGTACCCCTTAAATAGAAACACTGGTCCATGTCTTTATTTTCCATTTTATTGTGATCTGAGTGAACATTTAGACGTGCTGTTTTGAAATGGTGTCTCTCAGAAGGGAGTGATTACATCAAGCTTAATCCTTGAGCTTCAAAATGGTGTGGCTTGTCTGGTCTCTTTTCTGCTCTTTCACAGAGGAAATGGAGATTAGAAAAAGCTGGTGTTAATAACAAGGCTGCTTTACTCATTGTGATGCTGGTTGTGATGGTGCTCGCGTGGAAAGCATGCAAAATGTCCTCGGCTTTCGGTTTTCTCCTCACTACCCTGAATGATCCTCCCAAGCATCAGCCACCATGTGAGGCTCTTATCCAGAGATGGCTAAGACATGGTTATTTACCTTTGAGAAAAAATACTGGAGAAGACAGGCACATAAATAAATTACTGTAGCATGCTGTAAGAGTCGGTAGTGAAAGTGTTTCAACAGTATACTGGGAAATACAGAAGAGGGAAGAGGGTGTACCCTGTTATGTTTGCTGCAATGAGGACTGTGGAAGAGGATTGTTTTTGCACTTAGTCCTGAAGACTGAAAGAGAAGTGGCTAGAAAAGAATGGTTAAAAACATCCCCAAACCAACCAAAACCCATGAGAGGAGCATAGGACTACGAGAGGAAACAGTTCAGGACACAAAGTAGTCTGAAGTGGTGAAGGGCCACTTTGGGAAGGGTAGCAGGCTGGGAGGCGATCAAACCAGAGGCCACGGTCAGAATCTGAGAAGTTTGAAGCCAGGTGAAGAAGGTGCGTCTTATCCTACAGGTGTTACTGAAGGATTTTAAGCACAGAATGACATTCGGAGATTTTTGCTTTACAAAGAACACCCTCAAGGCTCTCTTCTTTGTGAAAAGGAAGCATGTGGGTCTGGAACATAGACATCTAGTTAGAGGAGAAAATTTCATGTTGGAATTAAGAGCACAGCCTCTGGAACCAGATTGCCTGAATCTGAGCTCTAGCTCCACGATTTACCAGCTGGACACCCTTGGAAAGTTACCTGGTTTTGTGGCCAAGTTTCCTAATTTGAAAAAGGGGAGAGGACTACGCATCTCATACTTTATTGCTACTTGTTGACTCGTGGATATAGAAATGTTAACAACAAAAATAATCTTTTAAAAGGGAATAAGACAAAAAGAAAAGCAAAGTCATAACAACAAAAACCAACACCTCCCGTGTGATATGAATAAGAGCTGACCAAAGTCAGTGACAGTAAAAGCAGAGAGAGAAAACAGTTGGAGAGGGAGTGTGCTCCCTCAGCTTTATGCTCAACAATTAACAGTGCTCTGAAACAAACCTGAGTTGGAAATCCTGTCTGAAGTGAAGGGCTAAGTGAAAAGGCACACTGGGTAAGTGGGCACACAGAGTAAGACTGAAATGGAAAAGAAATTTTTCTTATTCAACTGAGAGGTGGATTAATCGTTTTCAAGAGAAGAGAATAAAGTGCTTAGAGTTGGCATTTGAAAGCGAGACCAGTAAGTCCATCATTGAAGCCATGTTTTTGTCAAACATCTGGAATCCACGTGGAGAGCTCCCTGAATACAGGTGCTTGGTGACTACCTCGCCTGTGGTGACGCCCTTCGGGGTGGGCTGACATGCATTTTCTTTAACCAGAACACACCCCCACAGCATGTTTGGAGGGTTGTAGGCTTTGTGCACATGCAGTGTGTACATAGATGTGTGTGTATATATATATATATATATATACACACACACACACGCTAGTTCACATCTTCCCATTTCAACACTGCACTAAATTCAGCTTACATATTTTTTTTCAGAGAAATTTTCCTACTTTTTAAATTTTGTTTTAAAATAAACTCCCATTCTAAAAAGTAGAGGGGAAGGTTGAAGGATAGTCTGTGAGAATGAGATAGGGAAGGGGAAGATAAGTCACTCTGCAATTCCAAATTCCAGGTCTGACCCTTAGGGATCCTTGCTGGCCTTTATGTACAATTCTTTCTGATAATCAATGGCAAAGAAGAAAAAAGAAGAGTGAGTTTTTTATTGTCTGCCTGGATGAAGGTATTCCCATTTTCCCTCGCCTCTGAACGTGGGGCAGGAGGCCCTCCCTTCAGTTAGAGTTCCTTGGGGAAGTTGATGTCTTCATCCATTAAATGCTTTCCCAGAGCAATTTTATTGATCTTCCAAATGCTTCAGTTACTGTGTCTGAGTATCTCCCACAGAGGTACTGCATGTGAAAAGAATCCTTCTTCACTCCCCTGTGGGACTGAAGTGCAGCCACACCTGGGCCTGACACTGTATTTGAGGAAAGGTTGGTAGGCTGGGGGTACTGAACAGGACACTGGTCAGGCATCAGACTTCTATTGCTCGGTGGGCTGCTCGTGCTGGAGTCCTGAGCCCCACCAGGAGTCCCTCTGGGCTGCTGAGCAGGTGGCTTTTCCAAGGGGGCTGTCAGCCTGCTCCACACAAGAGCTATAGGAGTTGTAGAGCCCCAGCACAATAGTCAAGACCAGCATCGCCGCAGCCATCATCCAGATCACTTGCCAGTGCTGACACAATTTGGGATACATGACTTGTAAGAAACGAACCAATTCTTCAAGTTTGCTGTCAAACAAACAACAACAAAAAGTGGAGGGTTTAATATATGGGGTGCACATAGACCCAGACCCATACTTCTCTGTTTGGGGATACCTTCTATGCTGTCTAGAGTTCTCAAACTTGGCTGCACAAAGAATAGTAGAAATTATTAAAAAGTGTTAGGTTACTAGAATAAGAATTTCCAAAGATAGAGTCTAGAAACCTATAGTTCTAAATTTTCTCCAGGTACTTTTGAGGCACCAGTACACAGCCTTGATGTTGGGAGCTACTCATGTAGAAGACTCTTCAGTCTGATCATTCATTTATCCATTCACACATACCCTCAACACCTATGAGCTAACCATTGACATCTGCCCTCTCCTAAGCTCTCTGCTAGGCTCCAGGATACAAGGTTGGCTGATTCCCATTCTGGCTCCATCTATCCAGGGCCAGCATCTTTTCTTCACTTAGTTGAATCAGTGCTCAGTTTCAAATGTCAACGTGATTTCAGCTTCCATATTCTTTCTCTATTTTTGCAAAGAGTTGCTTTCTATGTTTATTTGCTCACTGTTTCCTCCTCCTACTCCAAGGTATTTTTGTAAATTCTCAATGCTAATTTTTTACATACTTAGATACTTGATGTGGTACTCTTTATTCTAAACCTGACTATATCCATCATGGAAAAGTCAAATTATATTATCAGAAAACACATGATGTTTGGTGACAAGGGACAAGGGGTTGGGCTAAGCTCAACAGCTCATTTCAAAGCACCCTTGGAGCAATCACATCCCTGGCAGCCTCCTGTAAGCTCCTGATGGCTTCATGTGTTTTCTCATCCTGATCACTCTGTTTCTTAATTCCTTCCTTCACCTCCTCTTCCCATGATCTCCCCATCATTTTCTTTCCTTCTTCCTTCTTTCTCTTTCATCTCATTCCTTTCTGTCACTTTCCCCTCAATTTTGGCCTCCTTCCCTTTTCCTCTCCTTCCTCTCAACTTCTCTTTTATAATTTAGTAAAAATTCATTTTTACCATTCTTTTTTTTTTTCATTTTTACCATTCTTAAGAGCTTTTTGTAGCAGCAGTGAAAACCTCCATTAAACTGAAGAGACCTTGGCAGAACAGCTAAATATATACATCCAGCTGCTCAAGGATTGAGAGGACTTTAAGTGACCAACCTAGAATGCACGCATGCAGCCTCAAAACAGGAAGGAGAGCTGAGAGACCCCCAGCAATGGTGAAAATGTGTGTAGGTCAAAGATGAGAGGAGTGGTTATTTCTCAAGGTCCTGGAAAGCTCGAAGATGAGAGGAGTGGTTATTTCTCAAGGTCCTGGAAAGCATTGCACTAGAGAGTCAGCTTTGAAGCCATAGAAAACCCAGGAGCCAGCTCCCTATAAAACCAATAAAATAAGACCTTTCTTATCCCTTAATCTCCACTAACCCTGGAGAGGTCATATATGGCGTTAGTAAAGCTGGGAGTGGGGGAGTGTTGTACAAGTGGAGATCTGGGAAAAAAGCCAACCATGTGCCTGGTTCCCACTTGAGGCTTATTTCCAGGAGGAGGAATGTGTAAGTGTATGTGAGTGTGTGCGCGCGCGCGTGCAGAAGCTTGATCTTTGTAAGAAGTTTGGGCTTTTGATATTTTTTCAGAGGCTTGTCATTTAAATGAAGGAAATGAAATTATTTTGATATTACTAATAAGAGGACTACTGTTTTCTGAGAGATATAGGAAAAGTGAAAAGGCCTGTCTGGATACTGTTCTAGCCCCACAGGGCAGGTCTGATCAGGTGACAAGGGCAAAGGCCACTTTGTGTAATATTTGTGTAATATATTACACAAATGTCCGAAGACTCTGTTCTCTATCTTGATATGATTATTAGGTTAATTTATCCAGAGTTCATTTAAAGTGGTCCTCAAGAGAGTAACACATAGAAAAGATTATATTATTATTTATCATAACAGAGAAGAGATTCAGACAAAAGGCCTTTAGTATTTGATGATGAATCTCTTGAATAAGATGTTAGGCCAATGTTTTAAAAAGGCACTAAATATATCTATGGTCAACTGATATTCGACAAGGAAATAAAACCTATCAAATGGGGAAATGACAACTTCTTCAGCCAATGGCAAAACTGGACTAATATTTAATAACTTTGAACCTTGTTTCTTAATGTGTACCAATACTTCATGGGGACTTATATTTGAGTGCAGACACCTGGAGGCAACTACATGCTAAGGAAGTCAGGGGTGGATGGAGATCACTTGTCATTAAAGACAACAGTTCCAGGGGCCAGTTTGACTTAGGTCACAAATGAAGGTGAGACCCTGTAACTGTGACTGGGACGGTTACAAGACATACTATACTGTCCCGAGGAGAAGATGCGGCCATATTTCTGGGTCTGGAGAGATAAAGCCACACCCCTGTGCAGGATGAGGATTCTTCTGAGGGTTGTGGTCATGCCTGGGATTAATAACAGGTACAGCCAAGTGTGGGCAAGGTTGGAGAGAGAACGAGGCCTCTCAGGATCAATCAACTCTTAGGTGATGAGTGTTAAGGTTGGCCATTGGCATCTACTGATGACCAGGAGCTGGGGAGAGAGGACCCTAAGCAAAGCTCACTTTCCCTGGGGTTTTGTGAAATGGACAGGAGCCACCAATCAGTCATCTGTGATTGAACCAGCTAGATAAGAATGGAGCTCTGTGCTTTGTAAACCAGACTGTTTATATTCCATTTACTCTCCCTGTTTATTTATCTTTTGTTCTGTCTCAGTGTTTGGCACTATTAGAGGTTCCAGCGTGTCTTAGATGTACTCAGGGGTCAAAAGAAAGAATTTTCTGAGGCTTGGGCTTGACTTCATTAAATGAGGGGAAGGAAGGAAGTAAAGTGGCCTAAAAAATAAGATTAGAAGCCCTCCTAGATAGTGGTCACAATGGAGAAAGCAGGATCTGGCTGCTTAGAGGAGATCTGCATTTTCACTGATTGAACGTGGAGGGTCCTCTCACAGGGAGGTCAGTGTATCCCTGCACAAGTCTCTTTAACAGTGAGGGCTCTTCTGCAGCTCTCCAAGCCTCTTCTTCCCTTGAACAACGGAGCTGACCTGTGCAGGCTGAGACTCCTCACCCTCGCTGAATCTCCCGTCTGGGCTCTATTAGTGTCTCCTATGTGCTTTTCCATTTTCATTGTATATATGTGATTCACGGAGTTTGCCGGCAAAGAGGCAGGAGCATATACCCCCTCAAGTTCAAAACATGATAAGTAATTGTTCATTTTGGCTGGAGCATCTCTATAACTCAGGGTAGCCTGATGGATCTGAAAACAGACTGGTAAAAATATTTCAAGCTTTCTATAACCCAATTTTTAAAGGCCAAACTTCGAGACAGATTTGAATGCATTAATGTAGACAACAGGGCAGAATGTATTAATTTGGGGCTACTGATTTAAAGTCCAGGAAGTATATACCTCTTTTCTAGGGACCAATTTATCCTGTTCCTAATCATGTACTTATATGAGCAGTCCTTGCCTGGACCAGGCTATTTCTATTAGTCTGTATCCTGCAAAGCAGGTAGCACCACAGGTCGAGAGCTGAGTTTGTTTGCTTTCCCCATGTGTTCCCTCTCTGTTCTTGTAAGAAACCCCTCTCGCACTCCAACAAAGCTCCCCTGGCCTTGGCTCTTTTATGGGGAGAGATGAACTAACTGTGGCTGTTGTGTGTACCATAGAGTCAGAAGTGACCCATTGCTGACCTTCCAGCGGTTTTTAGAGGCAGTTAATCACACAGCTGGTCCAGGAATAGTTTGAGTCAAGATCCCTCACCCTTTCCCAGCTCTTAAGAGCTCCAGGTTCCTGTTATTTTACCCTTAACCATGTCTCCTCCTCACGGCCCAGCTTCTGCAAAGGTTCCATTATTATCTATTTTTGGGTTTTGAAAGTTATTTTGCCTCTGTCTCAACATGAGGGCCCTCTTGGCTTCTTTTGGTTCCTCACTTGGGCCCCAGACCCACTGCCACCCTGGACTGGTGTTTCTAGGAATTTTGTGCAATTAAGTGAATTGTGACCTACTTTGTCAGTGGCAACTTTTGGCCTGCTAACCGGGACTCCAAATACAGGCTCCCTACCTGCTTTTCTCATCCCTTTTCTCATCCTCAGTTTCTTCTGCCTCCTCCGGTTCCTCAGGACTCTCACTCTTGTGGTCTTCCTCTTCTTCTTTCAGGTCTTGAAGTTCTTTAGTTTTCTTTAGACCTTCTTGGTATCTGGAAGATAACACAGAACAATTTCTTCTGGAAGGCCAGCTTCAGGGCACCCTTTTCTGAGTTCCTACGGGAGGGGACTTGAGCACCTCCAGTAATTACGCACATCCTTTGGTTTTCACACAACAGGAAAAATCTGGGAAACTCCACTGAATCCCAAGGTGGCTCATGTCAATACAATTTCCCTTCACTCCTAAGCCTCCTTCCTGTTTATGTGAAAATGTGACAGTGACAAAACCGACAGGGAAAAATGTGGGTGCAGGATCTCCAGACTGGGTTCTTATCTAAGCAAGCATTCAGTAAAGCCAGGATTGCATTTGTTCTCTGTGTAATCTTGCACTTCAGTTTCTCACCTATGAGATGGAGTGGAGGACACACATCTCATGGTACTGAAACATTCCGAGGGAGGACTAGGCACATGGAATAGCTCAGAGAAGGCAACACTCTTTCTCAAATTGGTTGGCTAGTTTTGCAAAAGCGCCAGGCACACAGCTTGGCCTCAGAAGGGTGTTACCCATCTCACAGGCTTATTGGAAGTTTTGCAGAAGTGCTAGGCACACAGCTCGGCCTAAGAGAGTGCTCAGTAAATACTTATAAAGCCTGCTGTGATTGTTGTTGTTGTTGTTGTATACTGTCAATTCAGAACCAATCCACAGCTGACCCTCCAGCAGGTCTTCAGAGGCAGTTTAACTGCATGGGAGGAGATTGTCCATCTTTTCAGAGCACCTGGTGGATTCGAACTGTGTGTCTTTGGGATGGCAGTACAGAAAACACAAGAGCCTTTTCAAGAGAAGCCCTTGTACTATCCGTTTCTCAGGATTAATATTACTCTGAACAGACTCTGCTACCTTGCGATGCAGTTGAGTGTTATAGAACAACAATTTGGCTGGGACATTGTCACTACTGCATGTGAGGTCCACTCCGAAGCCCAGGGTTCTGTGTAGAAGGTCTTTCCCTCACAAGTCACAGGGAAGGGAATTCCAGGATGAAGTATCTGCTCAGGTATCTACCTTGTGTCTCGGACTTAGCCTTGCTTAGTGTGCTATCTGGTCGGTAATAGGCAAGTGCCAAAGGTGCCGCTGAAGCATAGTTAGAGAAAAGGATGGTCTGAATTTGAGGAGACTTCCAGTTAAAGGAGTCAGGGATGACAAGAGCAATTCTACAAAGCAGAGGAGCAGCTGCTTCTGTACATTACTGACTGTAACTTGACAGACATGGGCACGTGCCAGGAAGCCTTGGGCACCTCCTAAAGGGACTTAGCCACGGCCCTTGATTGCTCCAGTGGCTTTCTGCCCACAAATGGAAGCCTGTTTATTGCCTCACTGTATCCTTTCACTCTGCTTCCTTCTGCTTTTCCTGTGGAACAGTGTTTCTCTTTCCTATGTAGTTCTCCACTGGGGCAACAAGGTCCTAGGGCCACTCGTAACCTCCCTAATGTCTCTAAGAAACAGAAAAGGCCATGGGAAGGCATCTTCTATGACCTGCCAGGCGGCCCCAGGGGTGACCAAGACTCACTCACCCCTTGTTGTAAGCTTCTTCCTCTATTTTGGCCTTGGTCTCCTGGCTAATCTCCTCCAGGCTGCTTGGGGTCGAGATAGGAGCAGAGACTTCACAATCTGGGTCCCCATTTGTCTTTCCACTGGTGAAAAGAGGAAGGTACAGGGAAATGAGCATCTGAAAACAAAACATATCTTTGACCCAAGTCCTGATTAAAAGTGAGGAAACTTAAGTTCTTTCAGTAGCTTCCAAATTAATTTCATTTCTTCTACTCTGAGACAAGTTTTATAAAAGCCCATAATTACTCCCTGTGGGTCTCAAGATAATAAGCACTACACCATCTCGTCCTTTTCTCACGCTCCCACATCACCTTTTATTCTTAACCCAAGATATTCTGTCAGCAGCTGGACAATTATTAGAGGTACACAGCTCTAAGATGAGCAAGATGGAGACAAACCAAACCATTCCACATCATTCCATTCCTGTAGTATAACCTTTTATTTCATGACTCCTGCTCATTCTTTCAATTATTCATCGACTACTGACTGAAGCGATATTCAATGTGCTGAGGATATATTGAAAAAGACAAGACACAGTCCTTTCTAACATAGGGCTTATCAGGAGAGAAACAGAAAAAAGGAAAGAAAAAAAATCATGTAATTCTAAACTGTAATATATTTTTATGAAACAAACAAACGCTATATATCAACAGAAAATACCAAGGGGAGGATGTATTTAGATGGAGTGGCCAGGAAAGGCCTCCTTGAGACAGGGGAATTGAAGCACTGATCTGGAGAATGACAAGAACTCAACTGCATTAAGAATGAAAAGATCGTACCAGGTAGGGGGCCTGGGGCATATGAAGCCCTGAGACATGGAAGGCAGTGGGATGTGTGAGGAATTGAAGAGAGACAGGGGCAAGAGTTAACTTCTGCACAAAACAAATTTGTAAGTCTTATGAGTAACCCAAGTGGAGATATGAAACTAAGTAGTTAGATAAACCAAAGTGAGTCAGAGAAGAACTCTAAGCTGGAGATACACATTTGACATTATCAGAATGCAGATAATATTTGAAGTTAGGGCAATCACTTAGAGAATAGTATAAAAAAAGAACATGACCTAGGGCCACCTGTGGGGATCTCTGCATTTAGATCAGCTGAGAATAAGGAGCCTTCAGAGAAGACTGAGAAGTAACAGCCAGAGAGGTAAGAGGAAAACCAGGAGACTATGGAGTCTTGGGAGCCAACAGATCATAGTACTAAAAATAGAAGAATTAACTGCACCACTTACTTATGACAGTCTGTGGAAGACAAAGGTGTTAGATTTACATAAAGAGGTGCTTTCTGGAGCTAGAGGGAGCCAAGGAGAGGTTACAATAGGGTTTATAATGATTGTTGTTATGTGTCATCGAGTCACGACTCATAGCGACCCTATGTACAACTGCTCTGAACCCTGCTTTAACTTGGGCCAATTTCACTGTCTCGGACACTTCTACCTCTATTACCCCAGTAACTGAGTCAATCCATCTACTCCAGGGTCATAACGATTAGGAAGGGAGAAACAGAAAGACCAAGATGCGTAATATGACTGAAAAAGAGATAAAGGAGTATATTGGGGGAAATATTTAGTGGAAAAGGTTAGGTCCTTAGCTGAAAGCCCCTTTGAATGTGGATGCTCCAGTAGAGTTGATGAGAAAAAATTGAATGACCAAAAGGACAAAGTCCTTAAAAGGGGAAGTAAGGACAAATCTTAGAAAAATGGAGACACCTTTTCTTAGTTATAACAAAGGGAGAAAGAAGATGACAATGATGGATTAGACACTTGGCAAAGGATTATCTGTTTGAGAACAAGAACAGGATTATTTATTTGGATTTGCTCAGTGAAGAGGGAGACAAGGCCATCTGCCAAGAGAGGTAGAGAGACCTGGCAAGGGTTGAGGGGCAAGGAGAAATGAGAATGGGTAAAAAGCCACGTAGGATACTGGAAAGCAAACAGACTAGGGAATCATAGCAGGGTTACTGGGCAGCAGCTACTTGAGTGGGGGATCATTGATTTGAAGTAAGCATCCTGGTGATCATGCCTTTCTACAGGACCCACAGCTCACCAGGGATCCAGAATCCCAGCGGGAATAATACCGTCATGAAGAGCCCTTAAGCAAAGCAAAACCAAGACCAGTTTTAAGCTTGACTCTGAAAGATCTCAGCTGACACCCTCCCCTGACATCCCAAGCGAAGTTTACAAGTGAGATTTCTATCTTTTCTTCATTTTTGGCATTCATTTCTCATGTCTTATTTTTCTCCAGACCTTGTAAAATTTACATTTCATCAGGCTAGAAACCAAAACCCATTGTGAAGAAGAAAGATAGCCCTCTAAAAATACCAGCTATTCATAACATTTCTCTTTTTGCAAATTACATTATACACTCCCTTCCACGTGACCTTTGCCTAATGTGCATTTTTCTATCTGTCCAAATGATTAGAGCAGTTCCAGCCGAGGCATGGGAAGTAATTCTTCTGTTAAATATATTTATATAAAGAAATTAAATATTGGCACCATATCTTTCATTCGTTTTTTCTACAGCTGTCAGCTCTTACTGTTGTTAGGTTCTGAAGAGTTGAGTATGACTCATAGTGACCCTACCAACAACAGATCTGAACCCTGTCCTATCCTGCACCTGCCTCAGCATCTCTGACACACCTGAGCCCATTGCTAGAGTCACTGTTCAATTCATCTCATCAAGGGTCTTCCTCTGTTCCACTGACCCTCCACCTTTCCAAGCATGATGTCCCTCTACAAGGGAGCTCTGGTGGCTTAGTGGTAGGAAGCTATGCTGTAATCCTCAAAGGCAAGGCACACAGTTCGAATCCACCAGCTGCTCTTCGGGAGAATGATGGGCAATCTCCTCCCATGGATTTATTGCCTCTGAAAACCCACTGGAGGGTCATCTATGAGTCAGTTCTGACTCAACAGCACATAACAAGCAGCAAATTATGTGAGATGAAGCTCTGTCATCTGTCTCTGAGGAGCATTCTGGCTATACTTCTCTAGAGGAAACTTAATTTTAAACATGTTTAAAAGAGGCAGGAATCTATCTGAGGCAAATCTTGGATTCAAATCTCAACTTGTATACATTCAAATAACTTTCTTGAACGTCAGAATCCTCAACTGTAACTGGAGATGATAATATGTACTTGATGGTGCTTTTAGAATTAATGAAGGTATGTAAATAAGTTTTCTGGAATATTGTGCTCAACACATTATATCTATTATTATTGTTGTTATTGCTAGTAAAATTATTAAGAAAATTTGAAAACAATTTGAAGTTTCACCAAACCTGATCCACAAAAAATTCTGATCTATAATAAATTATGAGATGATTATATCTTCAAAGGAGACCTATATGTGTTATAACAACACTTCAGAGTCAGTAAAAATCTCAAAGTGAATGGATTTAAAGTTGTATTAAATACCAAATGAAAGTATAATTAAGTTTACATAAATTGCTGTAATAAATTTCTCAAGAACATGTTTGTGCCATAAAATACACATGTACCTTAGGATTTTGTGACCCAGTGACCATAAACATGTCTCTCACTAAACTGACGTTATTACAGTCTAGAGACTAAAATTCTTTCCTTCTAGACATGGTAGAGCCAAGCAGCCCATTTCACTAATTCTTTACCATAAAGATCTGTCTAGTCGACACCCTCAATATGGGTCTAGAGCTTTGGTTTGGAATACACTTTCACTTATATTCTCTCACATCCTCCTTTGGTGATAAAAAGAACTTACATTTATCCACTATTAATTATGCATCAGTATTGATTGAGGCTCAATGTCAAGAAGACAAAGATTCTCACCACTGGACCAATTGGCAGCATCAGGATGGATGGTGAAGAGACTGAGATTGTTAACAACTTTAGTCTGCTTGGCTCCACAGTCAACACTCTTGGCACCAGTAGCCAGGAAATAAAAAAACATATTGCGATGGGAAAGTCCGCTGTTAGGGACCTCTCCAGGGTACTGAAGAGCAATGGTGTCACTCTGGAGACTAAGGTGTGTCTGATACAGTCTTTGCAATCACTTGTTATGCATCAGAGAGTTGGACAATGACTAAGGAGGACAGAAGGAGAATTGATGCCTTTGAGCTTTGGTGCTGGAGAAGAGTATTGAATGTACCCTGGACTGCCAAGAAAACAAACAGATTCATCCTTTAGAGGATTAAACCAGGCCGCTCCTTGGAGGCAAGGATTCTGGGGCTTCGTCTGACATACTTTGGACATGTTGTAAGGAGGGACAGGTCCTTGGAGATGGACATCATGCTTGGGAGGGTGGAGGGACGGTGCAGACAGGAAAGACCCTCTATGATGTGGATTGATTCAGTGACTGGGGTAATCGGGATAGGTGTGTTGGAGGCAATGAGATTGGCACAGGATAGAGCAGGGTTTAGGGCTGTTGTACATAGTGTTGCTATGAGTCGCAAGCGACTTGACGGCACATAACAACAATAATTATGCATCAAACACTATGGGATAGTTAAGCCAATAGGGTAGGGAACATGTTGTTTGCAGTTTGATAGGTGATAAAACCAAACAAGACTCAAAATATCTCAATATGTCCAAGATCACATTGTATGTGGTACAGTTCAAAACACATCCAGGTTATCTTCTGCCCACGTTCTTGGATGGACTCTCTGCCACCCAGAAGGAATGTTTTCCCATTTGACAGATGTTGTTGTTGTGCCCTTGAGTCGGAACTGACCCACAGCTAACCCTCCAGTGGATTTTCAGAAGCAGTAAATTGAATGAGAAGAAACTGTCCATCCTTCTCCTGCTGAGCAGTAGGTGGATTTGACTCAAGTGCCTTTGGGATTGCAGCGCAGCTTCTTACCACTAAGCCAAGCCCAAATTCAGGTATGTTAACTGTTTGCTGGAGTTCACTCTTGGTGTTTGGCTGGCCCTCCTGGTATATATTGTCCTTGGTCTTCTAACTTCATATCAAAATGTGCTTTCTACCTTTCCTTGTGTTTTCCCTTTAACTAGAAGTCTCTTCCCAGGGTTCCGAGGCCTGAGAGTGGTGTGAGACAAGAGTACCTACTGAGTGAACCCATTTCCACCCTTACACGGAACTATGACTTCTGTATGACTTACTATGCTGACCTTTTAATGTGTGTGAAGTGGGCTAGGAAAGCCTTTCTCAATTCATGTGAGGGTTAAGGTGGAAAATGGGAGAAGATAACATACATAACAATTTTACTGAATATATATATATATAATTGAAACAGCAAAAACCCCAACAAAGAAATAAACAAAATTTTACTGATATATACACTGACGCCTAGACTGAGTTTTTAATTCCCTAAATATCTGCTTGAAGGAGCCCTGGTAGCACAATAGTTAAGCACTTGGCAGCTAACTGAAAATTGTGTCGTTTGAACCCACTGATTATTCCACAGGAGAAAGATGTGGCAGTCAGCTGTTGGCTTCCATAAAGATTATAGCCCTGGAGACCGTCTGGGGAAGTTCTGCTCTCTACAGAAATGTTACAGGTAGGAACAGACTCAATGACAATGGGTTTAGTTTTGGTTTAGATATGGATCTAGCTGCCTCAGAGTCCTCCATGACTCAGGAAAAAGAAATACCTTCTTCCGAATGGAGCCTCAGCTCAGGTTCCTTCCTTCCTTCCCTGTATTCTCTGTTTAAAAGTTCTCTCTCCCTATCTGGAGACTCTCTCTATACCTCATGACTCAGACACCAGGAACTTTTAGGTTTTGTACACATACTTATCTCTCCAGCTGATAGTGAGCAAAGGAAAGGGACTGTTTTTGTCACTAAGAATGTTGTAGACACATAATAAGTGCCTTTACATAGTTTTATGAATTGTTCTTATGTACTGTTGAGTCAGAACCAATCCATAGCTGACCATTCCACAGGTTTTCAGAGGCCATCGTCTTGAACATACCATGGACTGCCAAGAAAACGAATAAGTCTGTCTTGGAGAGGGTGAAAACAAGTTTCACCTTGGACACTAGGATTTTGAAGCTCTGTCTTACACTTTGGGCACGTGGCCAGGAGGGACCAATCCTTGGAGAAGGACATCATGCTCAGAAGGGTAGAGGGACAGCACAGGAGAGGAAGACCCCAGTTAAGATGGATTGATGACACAGCAACAGGGGCATTGGGGGTAGGTGTGTAGGAGTCAGTGAGACTGGCTCAAGACAGGGCAGGCTTCAAAGCTGTTGTAAATAGTGTCGCTATGAGTCATAGGCGACTTGAAGGCACATAACAACAACAACAATAGTCACACAGGAGAAGATTGTTCATCTTTCTCCTTTGGAGCAGCTAGTGGATGCAAACTACATGGCTGCAGGTTGGTAGCACACGTCCTTATGACTTGGTCACTGGAGCTCTGTCAGAGTTGTCCAGTTGCACTGAATTCGCTGTGATTCATCCAGTGCCAGCCTCTTAATCTTGTAAAATGGGCAGGTTCTCTCTATAAAAGGCTACTTCCTGAGAGGTTGATGTTTGAGTTGGTCTGAGGAATCTCTATTCATGGCTGTAAACTGGGAGCTAAGCATTGCCTGTGCCCACCCCTTTAAACTTGTGGGCCAAACTCTCATGAATCGCTGGCAGCTTTTCCAAATCTGAAATTCTGTGAGCTTTCTTTCTGGAATGAGTCATTAAAATGAAGCTTATTGTTCTCTAATGTCCACTGGATCAAAAAATGTTTGCCTCTCTGCTCAGTTCTCAGGGAGGTGGAAGACATTAATAAAAATGCATTGTTAGAAAGCTAAGTACATTAGATTATTTTTCCCAATGGTAAATATTTAAAAGTGACCACATTTCTCTCCAGTGAACACATCTTACCTTCTTGGGCTCAGCAACATTACTAAGCCATCTTTTTTGCCATGGCTCTTATGCACCCCAACCCTGGAGACATGAGTTAGAAGAACTTTTTTGCCCCATAACTCAATCTCAGGCTTCTGGGGTCCATGACAAGTTAATTGGAAATTAGTGTGAGTTGTCACTCACACCAGAATATTATAAAAATCCTTGGTATCATAACTCTATTACTAGTCCTCACTTCTTGACACTTGGGTTCAAGACTGCTGTATTTTATTCTCATTTTTGTGCCTCAATTTCTCCTATTTAGATTATTTCAGATTCTTGAAGATCCCTTTTTGGGTAAAAGCTCTTATCTCACTTGGACACTGGTTCTTCAGCATACAGGCTCTGTCATATCCATGTCTATTGGGGACATCTGCTTTGCCTGGCCCAGCAGGCCTCAACAGAGAAGGAGGAGGAGTTGGCATACCCAAAGGCAGGGTTTAGAGAGGGGATGTCTTGGTCAGACTTGGGGTCTGCTATAGTGGCTAAGGACTTGGTTACTAACGGAAGGGTGTAAACTGAGCAGCTGCTATGTGGGAGAAAGACATGGGGATCTGATTCTCTAAGTATCACAGCCCTGGGAACCGCTCTGTTTCTGCTCTGTGTTAGGTGGTTGGTATGAGTTGGCATCAATTAAATGATAATGAGTTTAACAGCTTCTCACTCTGAGGCTTAATCAATTTTGGAGAGATTCTGAGACCATGAGCTAGCACTGTGACTCCAAATGGTTGTTAATATTTCACCCCATCATAATTTTAGTAGAAAATCAGGAGAACAAATAACACCCTTCAAAAGTAGAAGGACCTGTAAGCTTATAAGAGACAGGAAAGGAATTGCTGGGGAAACATCAAGACCAATATGGGGTAAGTGAAAGGTTGGTGACTTTGTAGACTGAGAGAAGACACAAGGCTTATGGGCTGAGTCTCCAGATGGAGAACTTGGGAATCAAGTGTACTATAAAAGGGTCCAATGTTGACAGTCCTTGCCAATAAGGAAAATTATTATAACAACAATGAAGAATGAGGGACTAAAGCTGTCACAAGGCAAGTAAAAAGGAAGAATAGAGGTGAATGTTACCTCAAGTGATGAAAGACACAAGGGGGAGTTCTGAGAGATGGCAGCTGTGATCCAGATGCTTCCCATCAAATAAATGAATAATTTGAAAAGCAAGTTATGGAAGTGTGGAAGTGGCCTGCCTTTCTCTGGCTGAAGATGAAAAGACTTGCAAATTGCACGTTTTTGTTGCTTGCCAGTTAGTCAAAACTAACTGTCCATAGCTCACCCGCTAGCGAGTTTTCAGATGAGGTAAATTGCATGGGAGGAGATTGCCCACTCTTGTCCCTTGGAACAGCTGGTGGATTTGAACACATGCCTTTGTGATTGCAGCACACCTTCTGACCACTAGTCCACCAGAGCTCCATACAAATTGCACTGAGACCTAGCAAAGTTAGGAGAAGCAGAAGCTGCCGGTTTCTAATGCAGTGCTCTTCCCTTTACTACTTCCTAATAAATAGCAGCACGATTTTGCTCAGGTATTTATCCTTGTAAAAAGAAGTTTCATGGAGAGCTGACCCTCTCTCTAACTCTAAGACCACAATGGCAATCCATTTCCCAAAGCCTGAGATTGGTTTAGAAAGGGAAGTTATCTTTTCCCCACCAAAGCAACAAGAGGGAAGGCTGATACAAGACGTCTGGGTTCATTCCTAAGAAATATGGCCCCCTTTTTCCTGTAGTTATTGTCATGTCTCATGGGATACCTAGAACTGGCAGTCATATTCTGTAAGTCTGATGATGAAGTTGTCATCACAAGTAGGCAGAGAGGCAAAGAAATGGTCAAGAAAGAGCTGGAGCCCTTCTAAACTTAAGCCATTTTGGACGGGGGCTTTCTTGTATCTGCAGTTTAAAGAATCCAAATCAATAGAGGTCTTCCATCTCAGCCACAGCATCTTCCCAGTCCAGTAATATTAAAACCCAAAGCGGAAATCTTTGTGAATACCAGAGTTCTATTTATTTCTCCTAAAACTTAGTTTGTTTTCCATTACATTTAGAGGTGAAAGTCAGAGGAAGGGGCTGACATGGGGATATTTCCCTCAGACAGCCCTAAAATAAAGAGGAATATCAACAAACTTACTTTTCCAAAAGTGCAGGCAGTGCAGGGGTGACAGGTAGGTTGCCTTTTCCATTGCTTGTTTCCGACTGAATGGAAAGCAAGACACAGAGAATTGAGGGTCAGTGCTGAAAGAAGCAAGGGCAGCCAAATCTCTAGTGACTCTGGGAAAAGGCCACTGCTCTTTCCTTCCCTTCCTCGTCCCCATACTTTGCAACCTGCCTTTGAGAACAGACATTGGCCTCTTTCTGGCTTCCCTAGTCCTTCTTCTGTTAGAGTTCTGTCTCTCTGGGGCATATATAAACTGTACCTTTTCCACTTCTGGGTGTCCTTTAGCTAAGAATAAAGCTTATATATTTTCAGACTCCATCCTTGAAAGGAACAGCTGTACCTTGTGTACCAACTATGAATGCTAACCTGTCTACCAAATGCTCGTCCTATGCTCCCTTTGGAAGGGAACATGGATACATTCATGCAAAGCAATCACTGCCCCAAGAGATACAGCTCCAAGCACAATTCTCAGAAAAGACCCAAAAACTCAACTCATCAGAAATTTCCCCATGATAATAACCTTCACCCATCTTCTATATTATTTTATTGCCATTAATTTGGTTTAAATAATGGCGCTCAGACTTGTCTGCATGTTAGAATTATCTGGGGGTGTGGTCCTGGGGAATGAGTGTGAGTTTAATGATCCACTCCAGAATCTTGGGATGAAGCCTGAATATATAACATTTTTAAAGTTCCTCAATTTTAATGTACAGCCTTGGTCAAAAGAATTATCTATTATTATTATTATTATTATTATTATTACTACTATTATTATCATCATCATCATCATCTACCTTGTTGTTTTGTGCCATTATGAACCAACTCATAGCTGACACTCTAACAGGCTTTCAGAGGAAATAAATTGCATTCAAGGAGATTACCTATCGTTCCTTCTCCCGTGGAGCAGCTGGTGACCTCGAACAGCATGCCTTTGGAATTGCAGTACAGCTTCTTGCCACTAGGCCACCAGAGCTCCCGATAATATAGGAAACAGATCTGTTAAAACACACTAACTAGCTATCCATAGCCTGCTTTTTAAATTTTCTTTTTCAAATTGTTTTGTTTCAGTACATAACTTGGGAGTTAAGATTGGTCTCATAGATAATGGAAATGTTTGAGAGATCAATGAAGTCTAAGTGTGATTATTGTTAGCTGGCAGAACTTAAATATATTTTATCTATAGGTTATAGAAGGGAGCTGTGGTGGCCTGGTGTTAATAAGCTGTGCTGCAAACTAAAAAGCACGTGGTTAGAATTCACCCGCTGTTCTGTGAAAGAAAGATGGGCAATCTCCTCCTGTCCGATTTATTGCCTCTGAAAACTCACTGGAGGGTTAGCTATGAGTTGGTTATGACTCGATGACACACAACAGTAACATAGCTTATATAATCAAATTGTTCCCATATAAAGTAAAACTAGTTGTAGTTTAAAACCACAGTGATACTAATTAGAGGAGTTTTAGGTAGGAATGGCCTTTGTTAAAAAATGGAAATGGGTATTTCTATGATTATTAGTAATAAATTACTATTATAGGAATTTAAGCCAGCACTGAGAAGGGAATAAAAAGGACCCTTTTTTACCACTGCCCAGAGGTAATTATCACTTTTCCTGGGCCTCTGGTAGTGCAGTCTGTTGCATTGCTAGCCAAAAGGCCATTCACTAGCATTTCAAATCCACCAGTGGCTCCCGGGAGAATGATGGGCAGTCTCCTCCTTTTATGATTTACAGCCTTGGAAACCTGATGGAATGGTCACTTTGAGGACTGACTTGATGGCAGTGAGCTAGAGTTTTTTCGTTGAGTTTAAATATACTTTCATAATTTTTGTCTACATACAGAAACACTCTTATTTAAACTACAAAAGAAGCTGTGCCCTGTGTATGGTATTTAACTTCCTTTATTAATAATAAATACTTATTTTAGAATCTATTCTTTTTAGTGTCTATGAGCAACATCCCATGCAACTTAGGGCCTTTGAAAACTCCCTGGAGGGTCAGCTATGACCTATAAGTCAGTTCCAACTCAACAGCACACACCAATAACAACATATGAAACCACATCACAGGGACCTGTAATTTAGTCTCTTATTGACTATTTAAGTTGGCTTCCATTATTTCATTGTAATAAACAATGATGCAGTGAACTGAGGCAGGAAGACATTGGCTAAGGAATAAAAGGCGCTAATCCACCTTGGAGGACTGTGTTTTTAGCATAAAAAGGGGTGTGAAGAATATCCTCTGGAGTTGCCAATACCTTGTTCAAGGACACTGAATGCCTCTTCACAAAGCAGTGGAAGATGTGTCACCTGGGTCTATACCAGCTTTTTGAGCTCATACACCAGATTCTGTTGACCTCCTACTTCCCATCTACATCACTCCCATCATGGTGCAACTGAAGAAGAAGTAGGCAGAACACAGCCGAGAAGCAGGTATCATGATACTCACCAGGACTGGTAAGGAGGGGATGGATGGTGAGGGAGACTGGCCAGGCAGGTTCAGGGCATTAAACTTGGGAACCACGGCTACGCTGACCCTCCGGCGGGGCATGTTCTATGGGAGAGAAGTATCCAAGCCTACCATGTTGAAGACAGCAACAGCCAAAGTTCAGAAGGGCTTAATGGTGCCTACTTGTTCCTAACACTGTAATGACCTTTACTGCTCATTTTTATTTGGGTTGATATTGGAGTTGATATGGGGGGTTAATGTGAAGGATGCAAACAAAGATGATGGATCTGATTATGGTAAGTGGTCTCCCAACAAGTTCCTGTTTTAGCTTATGATTTCCTAAAGAATTAACAAAAAGTGATCATACAGTCTCTGGGTAGAAGTACCCATTGCTCTCCATAGCAATATCAAGGCTTATGGGCTATTTCATGTTTAAGGGTTGTATAGCCAGGGAGATTATGAACAAGTGAGGTGAAATGTCAGAGGCTGAATTAGTGGGTATGGAAAGCTGCATAGAAGCTCTCTGTGTGGTTCTCCATGAATCCAAGAATGAACGATTTCTTGGCTGACTGTGGAAACTTCTGTTAGATCCTTCTGGAATCCCTGTACTCCTTGAGCAAGCATACCTTTCCCAGCGTGAGGGACATGGACCTTGCTGTGCGAGGGATCCCATCATCTGCAGCAGAAAGGAAGAGAGAACAGAAGTCAGGTAAGCTTTCAGATTAGGCTCCAGCAGGGAAGAGATAAGTGGAAACTAAGCAAAGGTCAGAGCATTGGGGATATTGAGGTTGGCACTTCACCCTCGGAGACTGTACCTTCTGTGGATTTCAGGGTTCTTTTGGACGGGACCTTTATTCTAACACCTCTGAGTTCTATACAGGAGAAATCTGGGTTTTGGAATTCTGATCACTGTTACAGTCTCTGGGAATCACTCTGAATGATGTGAGAAAACTACTCAGAGCAATTTCAAGGATTACTGATCATTTTATATTCTTTCAAAGAATGCATGCTCAGAGGAACTATGAGCAAAGAAATGTGATATTGGTAAAGAATAAACTTACCAGCAAAATTTGTTTCAATATGTCACTTAGAATGCTATGTTATTCATGTACAGTGCTTAGCACCACCCTGGATAGTGCTGTCACCAGGAAACAACTGCATTATGTGAAAACAAAAGTACCCACAAGCTCAGTTCAGCTTGATTTAGTTTGACCAACATTGTCTAGTTCATACAGTGGTCTATCTCTCCTGTTCAAACAATATAGGTTTATCTTTTGAAAAGCAAACAGATGAGAATCTCTATTAACCAACTGGTTTAAATGCTTTATATTTTGCATTATTACTGACACTTTTGTTTTATTTCTACTATCTTATTTTTTTATAACTTGGCTTTATTCAGTTTTTCTAATTGCTACCCCACTGATCTAGAAGCTATATAGTATGTCTAATCTTTAGTGCAGCCTTTAAGCTTTTTACATGTTTACTTGACTTTAAATGTAAAATTAATCAATATCTCTAGTTTCTTCCTAAATAAAACTTAGGACAATAGCACGAGTTTAATTTCATTTGTTTCTATAGTTCCAAATGAATAATTATGATTGTTATTTTATATAATGAATGCTTGTTTAGATACGTTTGTAGATGTCTGTAATGACTACTCCTTGTTATATCCTCATCCTTTCATTCTTCCTTAAGACTCTCCTTTAAGAGAGTCTCCTTTAGCAGACCCTTGGGCAAAGATCTGCAAGAAGTAAATTATTTTAGTTATTATCTCAAAATGTCTTTACCTAACTTTTAGCAGCAAGGACCAGTCCTTGGAAAGAACTATCCTTTGGGAAAGGTAGCAGGCCAGAAAAAGAGAGCATGATCCTTAGTGCGATAGACTGATGCAGTGTCTGTAACAATGGACTCAGGCATCTCAGGCAGAGAGTGTGAGGACGGGGCACTATAGGACAAGGTTCAGATCCATGGTTCATAGGGCTACATGGAGTCGTATGGCTCAGTGGCTCCTAGTGACAACAACCCTGAAGTCTTCATGCTAGTTTAGCTGTATGATACTCATTATGTTAAGGGTGATTTTTCTCTCAGCTTTTTGAAATAATACTCCATTGTCTTCTGGTACCATCTTTGCTTTTTAAAACTGTAATTTCCTTGTATTATCTGTTCTCTGTAGTTGCTTTTAAGCAACTGTTCTCTTTGTTTTTTCTGTTCTGAGGAGTTATGGCAGCCTATGCTGTAGGGAGTGGTGCAGCTAACTCAAAGCCACACCTCTCCAACAATTTAAATCTATCAGCTGTTTTGAAGAAGAAAGATGGACAATCTCCTGCCATGTGCTTTATAGTCTAGAAAACTCAGTGAAGGTCAGTTATGAGTTGGTTCTGATGAGTCATTTTTTGTTTTATGTTCTGTAATTTCTTTGTTGTTATGTGCTGTTGAATCAACTATGACTCATAGTAACCCTATGAACAATAGCTCTGAATCCTACCCTCTCCTGAGCCAAGCTCACCATCTCTGTCACGCCTGCTCCCCATTACCACAGTCACTGTGTCAATCTATCTCATCCAGGAACTTCCTGTCCTGCACTGACCCTCTTCCCTTCCAAGCGTGATGGCCTTCTTCAAGGACTGGGCCCTTATCATGCCCAAAGTATATGAGCTAGAGTGTCAAAATCCTTGCCTCCAAGGAGCAATGTGGTTTCACTTTCTCCAGGACTAACTAACCTATTTATCCTCTTGGCAGTCCATGGCATGTTCAGTACTCTTCTGCAGCACCACAATTTAAAGGCTAATTCTTGTGTCATCCTTAATCATTGTCAAGCTCTTAGATGCATAGCAAGTAATTGCAAAGTCCATGGCCTGGATCAGGTACACCTTGCTCTCTAGACTGACATCATTGCTATTTAGGACTCTAGAGAGGTCCCCGATAGCAGACTTTGCTAAAGCAACTTTTTTTCTTTTCTTTTCTGACTTCTGGTGCCAAGAGTATTGACTATGTATTTGAGCAAGATGAAATTGTTAACAACGTAAATAATTTCTCTATTTATCATGATGCTGCCAATTGGCCTGGTTGTTAGAATCTTTGTTTTCTTGATGTTGAGATGAAATTCATATTGAAGACTGCAGTCCTTGATCTTCTGAAGCAAATGCTTCAAGTCCTCCTCAGTTTTGGTGAGCAAGGTTATGTAATTTGTATAATGTAGGTTGTTGATGAGCCTTCCTCCAATCCTGAAGCTACAGCCTTCTTCATAAAGTCCAGCCTCCTAAATGATCTGTTTCATGTATAGATTGAAAAGGTAAGGAAAAAGGATACATACTTGATGCACTCATTTCTTGATTTTAAACCACATAGTGTTCTTTTGCTCTGTTTAGACCACAGCTTCCTGGTTTAGACAGAGCTTTTGCATAAGTATAACTAAGTGTTCTTGGATTCCCATTCTTCTCAACGTTAACCATAATCTTTTCTGATCCACACAGTAAAATAGCCTTTGCATAGTCAATAAAACACAAATAGATTCCACTGAAAAATAATGAACTCATGAAATATTATACAAAATGGGTGAACCTGGAGGACATTATGCTAAGTAAAATATCTCAGTCACAAAAAGACAAATACTACATAATGCCACTGTTGTAAAGCAGGATTGACATCAGGTTTGGGGAGAAACTAAGAAAAGAGGGTATAAGTAATGTATACTGCATTGAAACAGATGAGGGAGAGAACTGTTTGACAGGAATATATGATTAGGTATTATTTTCATGAAAAAAGTCCAGAATGAGAGCTACATGGTGGAGTGGACTGTGGAAGGGAGGGTTGTTACAATAATGAAAGGATTTCCCCCCCCCCACTTTTCAAAGATAAAAACCAACTGAGGGGGAGGGGTGGGCAGGGAGGAAACTGTGTAGCAATGAATGGATGGATATCCAAAGTCTCTATAAAGTTTCATTAAAATGTCAATTAAAAAAAGAAAAAACCAACAAATAGACATCCATCTGGTAATCTGTGCTACTCTCTACTTTCAGCCAAGATCATCTGATATCAGCAATGATATCTCTAGACCCACAGCCTCTTCTAAACCCAGCTTGTATTTCTGGCAGTTCTCTGTTGATGTATTGTTGTAGTGATTTTGGGATAATCTTCAGCAGTATTTTGCTTGCATGTAGTATTAATGACGTTGTTGTTGTTGTGTACCGTAGAGTCGGAACCAACTCATGGCTGACCCTCCAGAGGGTTTTCAGAGGCAGTTAATCGCTCAGGAGGAGATTGCCCATCTTTTGCCTGTAGAACAGGTGGTAGAGTTAACGATGTGCCTTTGGGATTACAGCACAGCTTCTTACCAGAGCTTCTTCTATAGTGTTTGATAATTTCCACATTCTGTGAGATCACCTTTTTTTGGACATGACAATAAATATATATCTCTTCCAGTCAGTTGGCCAGATTTCTTGGCACAACCTGGTGAGGAGATACAGAGCTGAATCTGTTCATTGAAACATTAATTGATACTCCATCTTTTCTTGAAGCTTTCTTTTTTGTCAATTCCTTCAGAACTGTTTGAACTTCCTCCTTTATTATCATTGGTTCTTGATCATATGCTACTTCTTAGAATTCAGTGTGCTTTCTGAATCTAGTAGTTCATGTCTTTTTTTTTTTTAATTCTAGAAAATCCTCCGTCATTTTCTATTTGCCTGAATTTTTTTCTTAAGATCTTTTAATAAATGCACTTGGGATTTTCTCATTTTATATTTCCTCAAAGAAAAACTCATTAAGCTCATTGCTGTCAAGTTGGAACTAATTTGTAGTTGATCCTCCAGTGGGTTTTTCAGAGGCTGTATATTGCACAGGAGGAGACTTCTCATCTTCCTCCCTCAAAGTAGCTGGTTGTCTTTGGACTGACAGTGCAATTTCCAACCCACCAGAAACAGATTATCCAGGATACTGGGCTCTATGAGAAGTGTGGCATCAGGATTGGAAGTAGGCTTATCAACAATCTGTGTTACTCAGATGACACAACCCTGCTTGCTGAAACTGAGAAGGACCTGAAACACTTGCTGCAGAAGATCAAGGACTGCAGCCTTCAACATGGATTGAAACTCAACATCAAGAAAACAAAAATTCTCACCACTGGGCCAACTGGCAGTATCATGATTGATGGTGAAGAGACTGAGATTGTTGACAGCTTCAGTTTGCTTGGTTCTACAATCAGCTCTCTTGGTACCAGCAGCCAGGAAATTAAAAGACAAATTGCACTGGGAAAGTTTGCTGTCAGAGACCTCTCCAAAGCATTGAGGAGGAATGATGTCAGTCTGGGGACTAAGGTGCTCCTGATACAGGCCATGCAATTACTTGCCATGCATTAGAGAGCTGGACAATGACAAGGGATGATAGATGGAGAGTTGATGCCTTTGAGCTGGAGAAGAATACTGAACTTATAGGAGAACAAACAAGTTGGTCCTAGAGAGGTTTGAAGACAGGCTGCCCTGTGGAGACAAAGATTCTGAAGCTTTGTCTGATATACTTTGGACATGTTGGGGATCCATCCTTGGAGAGAGATGTCATGTGTGGGAGGATGGAGGGACGTGCAGGACCCTCGATGAGATGGATTGATTCAGTGACTAGTGTAATGGGGATAGATGTATCAAAGATAATAAGATTGGCAAGGGACAGAGCAGGGTTTAGGGC